CCTAAACATTTTGTGAATCTTTGTACTTTTGTCCACTTACTGTATTTATTTTCCCCGATTTGAACTATAAAATGGTGATTTTCTTGAGTCAAAATGACAGTACCCCTAAACTTTTTTTTTGTTTTTTGTTTAAAGAAATAATGCACTGGAAAAGGAGGTGCATGTAATAGCAAAACCAGGTGGGTTTGTCCAGGATTTTTTTCTGCCAGGGCTCCTGCCCTTTCAGTAGCCAAATGCCTAGCAAAAAATCAGTTGGCAAACTTTCTCAAAGCATAGAGAGGTGTACCGATACTTGTTGAGCTTCTACTTGACATGGTAAAGGATGCAGAAGAGCAGAAGAGCCCTGCAAGATTTAAAAGAAATAAACAGAGAAGCTGACAAGTCTTGACAAGTGGTAATGTTTATTTTGGATTAGTTATTACGTAAGTAACAATGAATCCAGAATAAGAGAGCACACATCACCCACAGGTACTTAAAGTGATTCATGAACGCAGTTGCAGCCAGGTCTTTGTAAGTTCTGGGGGCAATTTCAGTACAGTAGACAAAATGGCTCGATGCAAATCCTTATTCGTTTTAAACAAAAACAAAGTAACCACTCGCGCTGATTCATCTTTAATCTTTGCCCCCCAAATGCTTGGCACGCTACACTGTGCAAACGAAATGTTCTTTGCAGGACAAAATCTGCAACCAACCACATGAAGAGTGTCATGAAGCAATTCAATTTTATTGGTGAGCATGGATGACTAACGGCAAAAACAAAAATAAAAAATCCAGGATGCTTTCAGATACATTCATAACATAAGGTGATGAAAAGATATCTGCATCAAATGGAATAAGACATACTAGTTGCTCTTTCAATTGTTCTCCCTCACACACATCTATCTTTGTTGTTGTTTAGTCGTTTAGTCGTGTCCGACTCTTCATGACCCCATGGACCAGAGCATGCCAGGCACTCCTGTCTTCCACTGCCTCCCACAGTTTGGTCAAACTCATGCTGGTAGCTTCGAGAACACTATCCAACCATCTCATCCTCTGTCATCTCCTTCTCCTTGTGCCCTCCATCTTTCCCAACATCAGGGTCTTTTCCAGGGAGTCTTCTCTTCTCATGTGGTGGCCAAAGTATTGGAGCCTCAGCTTCACGATCTGTCCTTCCAGTGAGCACTCAGGGCTGATTTCCTTAAGAATGGATAGGTTTGATCTTCTTGCATCTATCTTCACTCCAACTTATTTTCAACAATAAAACAATTCACTACTGCACTGATGTGTACTACAGTCCATTTCAGTTTCAGATGCCTTACCAGGGTTTAGGGATTGGTAAATCTGTTAATTTCAGTTTCCCTGAGCTCCTAACTTTTCCAGTCTTAAATTCAGTTCCCGACATTTCCACCTCAGTCGATTTTATTTTTAAGTCCTCATGAAAATTCATTTGCATTTTAGTGAGATTTTTGTATGCCACTTTTGAAAAGCAATTTCCCTCAACATAATGCATTTTTGTATGCAATTTTCATCAATACATGTATTTTTATACACAGTTTAGTTTGAGATGTTTAGAATTAAGCTAAACTAAACTTGAATTAAACGATATTCAGTTTTAATCCATAGTTCAGCCCGGACACTGAGATCCAGCGCCGAGGGCCTTCTGGCGGTTCCCTCATTGCGAGAAGTGAGGTTACAGGGAACCAGACAGAGGGCCTTCTCGGTAGTGGCGCCCACCTTGTGGAACACCCTCCCTTCAGATGTGAAGGAAATAAGCAGCTATCCTATCTTTAAAAGACATCTGAAGGCAGCCCTGTTCAGGGAAGTTTTTAATATTTAACGCTGTAGTGTTTTTAACACTTGATTGGGAGCTGCCCAGAGTGGCTGGGGAAACTCAGTCAGACGGGCGGGGTATAAATAATAAATTGTTGTTGTTGTTGTTGTTGTTGTTGTTGTTGTTGTTGTTATATTATTATTATTATTATTATTATTATTATTATTATTATTAAAAGATATGCCTCAGTAGAAGGATTGGTATGTGATGTTCACACCCTTGCACTCTCTCTCTCTCTCTCTCTCTCTCTCTCTCTCTCTCTGTGTGTGTGTGTGTGTGTGTGTGTAGTGAAACACCGCAAGGGACAGACTTACATGGGAGAACAATGGGGCCTGCACAGTGCCTATTCACAGCATGCAATGCCACGCCAGCAGGACCTATTAAAGCACACAAGCTGCATGAGGAAGTACAGCAGAATAAAACCGAGGCTTGTGATATTTTCAGGCTTGGCTTATGACATCCTTTTCTTCATGCACACTTTACTTCCTTGCTTGTGTTTATCAGATGAAGTTGATGGCTTCTGGCTGCTTTCGTGGTAACCTTGCAGTCAGGGGCCTCTTCGAGAGACTGAACGTTCAGCACAAGCTTTATTTGTGGCTTCCCCCCACCGCACTCTTTTTCCTTTGCTCTCTCTCCCCCGTCCCCTTGCGTCTCAGAAGAAGAAAGAGCACATGAACCAGGTGCTCTCCTTCATTTTTATCCTCTCCCCTCCCCCCCCCCCGCATTTGAAGAACAAGAGACAAATTAATTGTGTTTTCAGCTGCAGTATACACTGAAAGAAACGCGTCTAAGTGGGCTCCTTTCCCAAAGCACATTTGCGTGTGGGGACGTAAACACCACCTGCAGGCCACCCTGCTAACTAGTTGAATAGTGGCTTTCTCATATTATTCACTAATATGAATAGTGGCTCATGTTTGCTCACATGGAGAGGCCTCCTCAGTGGACATAAAATATGTCCTCAAGAAAATGCCACATACCTGCAAATGGTTGCTGATTCAGAGTCACCAAGTTCTCATTTTCGGTCTCTTCTGTTGTTGTTTCCTTCTGTATTACAACCATGGAGGATGATGTTATAAATGCCTGTGGTCATCATGGTGCTTACATATTACCTGCCAGAGTCACACCTCCTCCTCCTTGTTTTAGCTAGCACTGAAAGCCAGTGTGGTGTAGTGGTTAGAGTGTTGGACTAGGACCTGGGAGACCAGGGTTCAAGTCCCCAGTCAGCCATGAAGCACACTGGACAACCTTGGACCCAGTCACTCACTCTCAGCCCAACTCTAGCTCACAGAGTTGCTGTGTGAATAAAATGGGGAGGATGAAAGCCTTGTTTGCTACCTTGAGCTCCTTAGAAGGTAGGTGGGATATAGTGCAGTGAAGGCACCTGCCTCCTATCAGTGGTCAGGGCATTCCAAAGTGTAGGTAATGTCACAGTAAAGGATTCATTTCCCGCAAGAACAAATTGAGTATTGTGAGATCTGTAAAAGCGCTGGTTCTACGGATCTAAGAAGTCACATGGGCACATGTGGAGTGCAAACATGTGGAATGTTTTGTTTTTAATAGGTTATTGCTTTGAAATGGCTGCTTTAATGCTTCATGTTCCCCTTTTATAGTTACTTGGGTGTTCTTGATTTTATCTGTTTTTATGAGAATGTCCAGATATTTTGCAATCAAATGGGTTGGTTCCCCTCCAGTGATGCCTGCCCTGTCATAGTTGCTTGACTGGTAGAAGTTCAAGAGGTACAGGCCAGTCCAAGACACACCTGAGGCAAAGGACATGGTGGTGCTCATACAGAAGCCTCGTGGACTGCTAGCTGAACGTTGCCTCAACACTAGCAATGGCATGGCGTCTTCCACCAGCACTTGAGGGAAGCAGGATAGTTGAGGCAGCGCAAGGCAATCTATATGACACAAATCGTTCTATCCTCCACTAGAGAAGGAACTCTTCCCCCAATGTGGCCATTGCTTCATTCAGCCTAATGGTAGGGCTGGCTTTGCTTCCCAGTACACATATGTACAGTGACAGGATGCTAGACCAGATGGGCCTTGGGCTTGGTCCAACAGGACTCTTCTAGCATGGTTTTCCTTAGCAGCAACCCTTAATGCTTCTATACTCCTGTAGCTGCCAGTCAGTGTAGAACAAACCAGCGTAGATGGATCAACAGTATAAGGCAGCTGTCATGGAGGCACACAAAGCAAATGTTCAAAACATGTTTTCTTTTTGATAAGCAGCCTAAGGCCACATTCACACCATAAAGCTTTATGATACCAGTCATGGCTTCCCCAAATAATTCTGGGAGCTGTAGGATGTCAAGGGTGCCAAAAGTTAGTTGGAGACCCATATTCCCCTCCCATGGCGGTTTAACAATCAATCCCTCTTCACAGGGAACTTTGGGAATTGTAACTGAGAGGAATAAGGGCCTCTTAACAGCTCTCAGCAGCTTAATACCAGTTCCCAGAATTCTTTGGGGGAACCATGACAGTTTCAAGTGGCATCACAGCACTATAAATGCAGGGTGTGAATGAGGCCTAAGTTTAGTGGCTTATCTTAGACTTAGACTCAAGCTACAATTTTATGCACATGTGCTCAAGTGTAAATCTGTCTCAAATCAGGGTGACTTGTTTTAGGAAGCTGCCTTATACTGTCCCATCCAGCTTAGTAATATCTGCATGCTGGGTGGCAACAGCTTTCTGGGGAGATTCCTAGCCCTACCTAGAGATACCAGGAATTGAACATGGGACCTATGGCATGAGAAACAGATGCAGTAACACCGAGCTGCAATCCTTTTAAGCACAGATGTGTTGTATCTTTCCAAATGCTGGTCATTAGATGGGAAAGATTTGTACTAGAAGAATGCAGTTTATTCTTGGGGAGCGCTAGCAGATGCCTCACCCCATTTTCTGATGTATTTAGCTGACAGAATCCTCCACCCCACAATTCAGAAAACATGGGAGGTTTTTCTGCTTTCTCTTGTTTAATTCATTTGAATAACCCAAACTGATCAAGTGTTTTCCTGCTGTAGATTTGCAATACAGTACCATCCTCTTTAATGCTTGCACTCCAAGAGCAGCACACTTGGGTTTGGATAGGGATTCACGTACGCATTTCAAACTGCTAGAGGTCACCCACCCCCACCCTTCTTGGATTGTGGGAAAGGAAACAAAATAAGAGAGCAAATATGAATGCAAGAGGTTTGGAAAGCATTTTCAAACTTTATTTACAACTGTCACAGTGACAAAAGTAGTCTGAAAAAAATGCAAGCTTTTTTTCCCTGAGGCTCAAAAAAGAACTTTACAGAAATATAGAATGTAATATACAACAGGAGAAATTCAACTGGAGTGCTTTGTTCTTCAGACACATTCAAAAATGACAGAAATACAAGCAACAATTAAAAAAAGAGAGGCGCAAAAAGGATATGCTAATATTTAAAGACAAACAGCATTTCCACTCTGATCTTTTAAGCATTAAGGATTTTTGCTCGCCTTGAGTGGTTTACATTTGACAGCTTCAAAACTTGGGACCAAAATCTGCAAACAAAACAAGATATAACTTTTTGGAGATAAAACTAGGGAGTTCAGGCTGGTGTGCAGGTATCACAGCTCATTCTACTGAACAGCAAGACGAGAACAGATGTCCAGCATACAAGACCGAAAAACATCTGGATCCATTGGTTTTAAAGCAACCTTGGACTAGGAAATGATGCAAGACAGGTTTCAGCGATGACAAAACTGTTAACCAAGATAGGTAGTACATGTGTGACAAGTTCTTGGCTGCCAAAAGAATACAGAGGAACACCAACTACATCCCTATATTATGCTTAAAATAATAATAACAACAATAATAATAATAATAAAAAACACTCAGGCAACCTCACGCCCACATGTAACAATGACTCACAGCTGTTAAAAAGTTATTGCCATTATGTTGAAAACACAAGCAAGACAAAGACTGGGGGTGGGAGGGATTAATCCTGCTGATTTTAAACAAGCAAATTCCCTAACTCCTTACCAGCGTTTTTACTACTCATGAGGTATCTAATACAAATATATACACAAAGTCCCAACAGATTTAAGAAAGAAGGTACGGAGGCGATAAACAAGGGACATGCAAGACTAGGGGTTGTTCTGAATATCTTGTTAAGGCCATGATGCGCATTTATTACATCTTTTTAGTGTCTCCAGAATTAAACATGGAAACGATTGGCTTTTCATTTCTCAAGAGTGGTCCTTTTATACTGTGAAGTCTCAGGAAGGACTTCCATCAAGTGGTCAAGACTTCTGCTTTCTTAGAAAGCAGCAAGTTTAGCTTATCCTGCAATTTGTTCTCCACATCCTAAGAGGATAGATAGGACAAAAACAGCACAGCGGCAGCTGTTGCTAGGAATTTAGATCTTGGGAACAAGCTTCTGCCCATCAATAAAAGCTCAGATATGTTCAAAAAGCATATTATCTTCTCCAGAATACTGAGAGACCATAATACTTTTTTGTTGTTGTTTCTTTGAAGAGAAGACCTGCTTTCCTTCAATTATTACTTCTGTTAAAACTAACTTCAGATCATCTCCAAAGCTCTGTTAGGGTTCACTGCATCTGTTGGACAAAGATTATGCGCTGTCACAAAGTGAGCTCTTCATCCAGCTTATGAAAATAGTTAAACTACACACATCCCTCAATGCCACTAGAAAAGCTGGTATCTCATACCCAACTAGAGGTACTTCTGGATGGGAGACTTAACAGCAGCTTTGGTGCCCGGAAAATAATTTTATGGCAAAAATCTATTGAAGTTTTTTTTTAAAAAAAAGAAAGAAAGGAAAATCAAACTCAACCTGTTTTTTACCATGTGCAGGATAAACAAAGCTATTGCAGAAAAGTGGCAAAGGGACCATTTTGTAAAGTCATCGGCACTGTGCCAATGAAAAGATTCACTGCTGTAAGATTTAAATGTACGTCAGTTAATATCTTTATCATGGTTACAAGACCCATTTGGGTTAGAATTTAAATGCATATTTTAAGAGGGGGCTGAGGGGGGGAGGCGAAGATGGCTTTTGTCTGCAACAGGCTGGGCTAGCACGTGCCAAACACCAACATTCCCAACAGGGTGTGCGACTTAAGAAAAGATACTGAACGGGGTAACGTTATTTATCCGTTGCTCCTCGATGATGTTCAGCAGGGAAGACCTGCCATACTCTACTGTCATCGGAGCATTTCAGTGGCATGTTATCATACCTCTCAATCCACAACACACACACATACACACCAAAAAACCAAAAACCAAAGCACTATAAGAAGGCAAAGTTTTGAGAGATGAATACTAGCCTCATGCTTTTATAGCCAGAGGCAGCTGCATTTTACACATCTGCAGTCATTTCTTCCACCCCACACACTTCAGAAAAAAAGCGTGTTTCCTGCCCGTCTGATCCTCCACCAAAGCGCCCTGCAATTTCACGGCTACCCCCAGATAACCTTAACAAAATTCAACAGAGATCTTGAGGAGAGCAGCCGTCCCCCTTCCATTACGGCACAACTGCCTTCCTTGCTTTCATTTGGAGATTGTCATGTCAAGCGCTTCAGTTCTCAATAGAGAATATGAAAAAACTAAGATCTTTTTGCAGGTGCAAAATTTGAATGTCTTTTGTAGAAAAAAAGACTTTTCAAAACAGTTGTGGTTCTCTTCCCCCCTCAAGATGACGTGGCATCTTAAGTCGTACAGAAGACTCTATTGCTCCTTGCTCTCTTTCTTTGCTTCGTCACAGTTTTCTTCCTCTTGTTCCTGGACCAGGAACTCCTCAGGCGGCCATCTTAGCTCTCCGCTCTCCACATCCCCTTCTGTTGGTTCGACTACAATGGAAGGGAGACGGTCCTTCAGCTTGCAATAACGATCGTAGTCTGAAGGGTCAGGGAAAATCTGAAAACAAAAAGATTTACAATAGTCAGCACTTCTGTAGTATTGTGAGGTATGCTTGACATTCTCATCTCTTTTTCTCATAACTGTGAGGTAGGCAGTGCCTTGGTCCAGGGTGATCCAAGTGTGAGCATCATGGCTGAAGAAGATTTTGAACCTAGGTCTGCCACATCAAAAACCAACCATCTGATCAGTAAACCACACAAATGATCTAAGGCAAGCCGATCTGTCCTGCAAGTGTTGTTTGGGTGAAACCTGGCTTCAAGCTATTGGCTAGCTCGTAATGTGACCAGCTGCAATGCATCTTCAGGCGTTTCAGTGAATAGAATCATCTTTAAACTTCTTCCCACACTGAACAGTTGAGATGGGGAGATTGCCGATGCATACAAATCCGTACCCAACCTGATCTTAATTAAATTGAAATCCAACGTGTGTCCTACACAGAACTTGTCTGAAATATTCCAATACATACAAGATGAACATTATGACTGAATGGACACCACTGAAAAACATTTGTGTTCTTGGTAATATGGAATAGTATCAAAGTTCTGATGGTCCCATGGAAACATGCGAGTTCATGACTTTTGACTACAGCTCCCCAGTGATGATTTGCATGTGTGAATGCACCCTAAATTATGGTTTGTTTTTTGAACATTTTCTAATTTTTAAAGGCTTTGTTTAATAATTTGTTGCTCATATGGAATGGTTAATATTGCATTCATATACAAAACTAAGCTATCCCGAACTGGGCTGATGCAATTTAGAGGCTGCCTCTGATCAAACTGTATTAGAATAGCCCCAAAACAGGTTTTCTGGTGAAGGACAAGCTTGCATGGGGTGGCCCTTCTCTTGAACGCACCTAGCGAAAGCAGCTCTACATTGGGCCCTAAACAGATACACAAGCTAGTGGTACTTTTCAATACAACTTTTTGGTTCCTGAAATTCGTTCCGATTGTGCAAATAAAACATCACAGATACAATTCTACAATATATGTTGTTTGTGTGTGAAAACAGGCAAGATCCCAGGATCCCAGGCATGCACTTCCAGATGGGGGATGATATCAGGTTTCATCCTGGCCCCCAGGCATCTTCACTTCATCACAAGTGACCGATAGCCAGGTGCAAAATGCGCCTGCCAAATTTTGAATGCTGACCCTAAAGCTTCCAGAAGAATCTTAAGAATACCTAACGACCAAGTAGTGTGAAAAGTTCACCACTCAACTCTGGTACTTGTCACAAGCTCAAGAATACAGAGTATTCCCATCTGCTCTTGCCGCCTGCATGTGTGCTTGCACAAAAGACTGGCCCACACAGCTCCCTCATGCATTATTTCAGCAGGTAGTAGGGATAGTCTGAAGTCTCTAACATCTACAAGTAGGAATACAAGCTAGGAATAAGTTTTCCTTCTAAGCAGTTTGTGCCACCCTCCTTTCCAATGTGTTGCATTCTTGCCCGTGGCCAGTCCCATGATGAACACCAGTCTTTCCAGCTGTGCTACACGGAAGCTGATCCAACTTTCCTCTGCTCCAATTAGTATTTCCCAGATGTCGAGGAAATCTGCCTCATTCCGCAACACAACAGAACCGTACCCGTTTCTTTTCCTTCAGAACAAACCTGTTCTGCTCTGCCCCATCGCAGGGCTTCAGGGCTTTCTATTTTTCATATCTATGCTATGGCAACTCAAAATACAAGACCTCACTCGGTTCTTTCCCCTTGGATCCTGCTGCCTGTTATCACCAGAGTCTGCAAGGGAACAGTCAAGGTACAAGGAAAGTGGACGGTGGACTTCCTAAGCTGAACGACCTGCTTGCTGCTCCCAGAGCCAGCCAAAACTTCCCTGTCTGCAATTTGGAGGAGGTATTTGGCCTGGGTATCATCAGGCTGATGGGGGATGCAGGCCAACAAGAAGATTCCTACCTGCGGCCTAAGACAAAGGAGGCTCCATCAACAGAGCCCCCCTTTTCTTCATCGCACAAGGAAGCTGGCCAATTACAAAACTTCAGGACTCCTGGGGAGAAAGCAGCGGAATCTGGGCTGCAAAGTGAAGAGTGCCAGCCTGCAGCCAAAGTCCTAGGAAGATAAAAAGCTGCCTTGCCTAGTCAGACAAGAGCTTAGTATCGGTAGCAGCTCTCCTACTCCTACCTGGAGATGATGGGGATTCACTTGATGGGCACCTTAAAGACAAAGTTGTTTGCCTCCATCAGTGAGCCAGGCGCCACAGCTGATGCAGCTCCATGTGGGCTTTCCCGGTGCTCCATCAAGCTGTGCTTTGTGGAATCAGTCAAGTTTTTGCAGCCTATTGACACAGTGCTTGTGAGTATGCAGCCAGCAATGTGCTTCCAAACTACTTGCCAGCACATAACACTTTGTCTGAGGGATTTTCTGTGGCTGCCAATCCAGGCCACGTTCAAGGTTTTGCTACTAGACCAGGACCAGGTTACTTGAGAGCCCACCTTATCCCTTGTGTACCCAGTAGGTCCTCGCATTCTACAGGAAATTCACCTTCAAGTCCCCAAATTATCAGAAGCTCCCTCGACAGAAACTCCAGGCAGTGTCTTTGGCAAGGATGCCCTCCTGGTGGTGCTTAAGACTGGTGCCCACTACCTGCATTTTGCAGAATTAATTGGAGGCACTTTTGTTTGGACAAGCTTTTCTGCATAGATAAAAAAAGGTTTCTCCTGGTGTTCATTTTCCGTGGTTTTTAAGCCTATAGTCAGCTGTTTCTGGTGATATTTTCAAGAATTAGTCTTAGCCATTTCCATGGTGTGTTTGTAAATCACCTTGACAGACTTGTGAAAGGAGATTCATAAATAAATATCAATAAAATTGTGCAGCTGCACAGCAGGGACAGGGAATCTGTGGCCTTTCAGATGTGGTCGGGCGCCAGCCAACATGGACAGTGGTCAGGAGTGATGGGAATCATAGTCCAGCAACACCAGGGGGTCCCCACCCCCACTTTAGAAAATCTTCCCCCATACACAAGACAGTATGTGTCTTGTGGGTCATGCAGGACTTGCAATATTAACTGACTGCAGTCTTAAAATTCAGCAAAGAGCTTTGGCACTGATTTAGGGCATCCATGGGGGGAAACAAAAGTATTCCAAGCTGATGCTTATAGTTAACAGCAGTGCAGGAAACACCAGAGCAATAAGCATTCACTGTCATGTTAGGTACATTAGGTCAAGCCAGAATAGCTGTTTTGGAAATAAACTGTCTGCTTCCGCCCACCCCCTTGAAAACTAAGGAATAAATGATTTCCTTAAATAAACATCCCTTAAACGTGTTGTGCTTACTGTGCTTTTCCTCCCTCCTTTTTAAATAGAATGAACTATCTTATCTCCAAGCAGCTGCAACAGAGGAGGTCGGGATTTTTCCACTAACTCATGCTTTTTTAAAAATAATCAAGGCAGCATAAAAATGAGTTGTTGCAATTACACTCAAGGATTAGGGATGGCCCAATGGAAAATAAGTGAAGTCACATTTCCCAGCACATGACAGACAAGGAAACGAGACAAGGTTGTCTGTGGGAACAAAGGAACAAGAGAGAGGCTTTGCAGGAAGACACTTTTATCCACATCCACGAGATGCTATCTGCTCTCTCCTCTTTACACAAGAGGTAGATTTCCATCCCTAGGGACTCAGGCACACTTACAGCTGTCCCAATACACAACAGCCTCTTGGGCTATCAAGGAAACCAATCAGAGAATAAATGCAAGCCAGTGACTGAATAGCAGCCTGGCAAGGAAGACTTTCCCATGATAGCAGTAGAGAAATAATGTGTTCGGATCCTTTGGAATGCCAGAGGTGAAAGAGTATATCAGGGCGGGATGGAAAGAGACATGTTCCTGCTACTGAGCACAGCCTTGCATATAAGTGCTAGCCTGGTAGCCACAGGCACCCATAAATTGCATGCAGGTGTGTGCATGGAATTCTGTGCAGGCGAGTGAGCATGCTGAAGGAGGAGGAGAAAGAGGAGGCCTTCGTCCCTCCACTGCACCCAGCATAGAAACCAAGCAGGCTTCGAAAAGAGGGGAACCCCCCTCCCACTTGGTGCCCAGCATAGAAACGCAACTTTTGATTCTCCTCTTGTCAGGCCAGTAAAAATGCTGCAGCATGTTAACTTTTCTGGGCTTATTTACAAGGCTAGCTGAGCAGATCCTTGAACTCAAAGCCTGCATTCATGCTATCCATTTCAGGTTTGCATCACAGCTATTTACATAGCATGTGGGACTTGGTGTGCAAATATTTATTTGGTGTAGAAGCCAGACTATCTATGTTCAGACTATATTCTTTACAGGCCAAACTGCATTTAGAGTTAACCGGGAATAGGATTACGAGCCTAAGCAGTTTCTTTGATGGCCACAGCTTTCCACATAGCTTGGGGTCTCCAGCTGTTTTTGGACTACAACTCCCATCATCCCTATCTAGCAAGACCAGTTGTTAAAGACGGGAACTGTAGTCCAAGACCAGCTGGAGATCCAAGTTTGGGAAACACTGAAGTAAGCCACACAGGACAGATCCACCAGTGTCTGTTGGCTGCGAAAGCTAAATGGAATCTTGTTCAGAAGAAGCAACACTAGAAATAATGACGAGATGGGCAGCACCTTTGTGGTGCCCCAACTATGAGGTTCCAGCAACCCCTGGCTTGCCACTTCTGGAGACTGCATGGGGCAGCAGGAGGACCTTTGATCTCATCTAGCAAGGAAATCCTTAAGCCATGAAAGGCATTTGCTTGCAAACGAACAGCCAGCTGCTACAAACTAGGAGCCAGATAAAGCAAAAGAAGATTCCTTTCCTGAACTGCATTTCAGGTAGTTTTTCATTTTCTTCGACACAACACAGAAACAAGTCATTTCGGTACCAGATGCCCACCTGGGACTTTTACTGTGCTCTTGTGACAGTTGCCAAAAACAGCTCCCACATATGGAAGCTAGGATCATATAGGGTTGCCCTGGTCAAGCACATCGTACTTCCATGTCTGCTCAGTCACCCTTCTCACTTATGTATTTATTTCATCTATATCCTACCGTCTTTTCCCAGAAGCTCAAGGTGGCATAAAGGTGTTCTCATTTAATCCCTGCTATAACTGTGTGAGGTAGGTAAGCAGTGACTGGCCCCAAGTGAGCAGCTTGGCTGAGTGGGGATTTGAACCCTGGTCTCCCAAGCCCCAGTTTGATACTCTAACCATTACACCACCCAAAACTATCTACACATTAGTAAAGCACCAATAAGGACAGAGGAAATGTTTGTTGGGTATCTTATTGCTGCAGTGATAAACAAATGGAGCCCAGTATGTAGAAAACCATTTTGCATCTCAAAAACAGTAGCAGAATGCCTTTTGAAAAGTTTATTTAGAAGATTTCAACCAAGCATTAGGAATATATGACCTTAAGAGCTATTCAACAGTGGAATGGGCTACCCCAGAAGGTGGCAAACTCTCATTCGCTGGAAGTTTTTAAACAGAGATAAGGTGGCCATTTGTCAGTAATTCTTTGCCTGTGAATCCTGCATTGCAAGGGTCTGGACTAGATGGCCCCTGAGGGTCCCTGACAGCTTCACAGTTCTCTGATTCAGTTATTTATATCCTGCTTTTCAGCTACAAGAGCACTCCAAGCAGTTAGCTACCTAGCCAAAATCTGAAAAGATCTTCATTGATGGAACAACAGTTTGCTTTGGCCTAAAACTCAACTCAGGCAAACACAAAACTACTTTATTTTCTTGCCCAATGCCTCAAAATCAAACTGAAATTGAAGCTCTAAACTTGAAGATCATCTGCTTCGTCTGTGCCAGGTGACACCCTCCTCTCCCCCAGCCCCACCCCCCTGCTGCTTCCTCTAGAGTTGACTGAACTTGGCACCAAGAGTGGAAAATGTTTTAACAACCACAAAAAGGCTTGCTGTACGCGAGCTTGCTCAAGTACAAACCAAAAGAGCTCATCTGCAGTGCAAAACTGCACTGCAAGGAAACAAGCTATGCTAATAAGGAATCCAAAACAACCGGAGAGAATTTAAAAGGCATCTAACGAACTGCACCACCGACTTCATTGTCCGTGTAACCAGCAAGTCCTACAGCAGCGCGGCATAGCAGTGCCTTTTGCCCAGCCATGACAGGGGTAGGGAACCTGTGACCGCCCAGAGCAGGCATAGGCAAACTCCAGCCCTCCAGATGTTTGGGACTACAATTCCCACCATCCCTAGCTAACAGGACCAGAGGTCAGGGATGATGGGAATTGTAGTCCCAAACATCTGGAGGGCAGGAGTTTGCCTATGCCTGGTCCAGAGGCTGTCGGACCACAACTCCCATCAACCCCAGCCAGCATGGCCAGCTGTCAAGGATGATGAGAGTTGTAGTCCAACCAGGTTTGGAGGCCCACAGGATTCCCATTCCTAAATGCTGGCAGTACAGCTGGGGTCCCAACATCAGGCCTATGATCCACCAAGCCAAATGCAGCAGCCCATCAGAACTTGGGAAAAAAGCTTGAGATTTTGCCACTTGGCTGAGATGGCAAGCACATGGTGGTTATCAAGCACTTGGCAGGTGAAAGGTTTGGGCATGGTGGATCCCTAGTTGTGCAAGCCAGCCTCACACACCATTTAGAAACAGCCACAAGGCCAACCCAAGGAATGTACTGCTCCCAAACAAATGCACCATGCAGTCCAACCAGGGTGTCCATCCCAGGGCTACTTCCACATTTAAGGAATGCTCTTGCTCCTTGCACAGCACACAGGAGAGGAATCACTCCAACATGCTCTGCAAAACAGGAAATTATTTTGGGGCACAACTGCTGCTTACCACTTGGGTCGCTTGTGCCATCAGCTGGTCTTGAATGCTCATTCCCTGCGGAGTCAGTGGATTTAGTTAACCAGCTGTTCAAGGCAATCTGAGCACAAAAAGCAGAACACTTGCCTCCAAAGTTAGTCATATTGTTTGCCGGGCACAGCTGACACAACTTGAAATTTGTTTCAATGGCCCTTAGTTCAAATTCCATTCCAGCAGGATATTTTTTTTTTTAAAGTTTGAAGTCAAGGCATTGTTTTGACAGCAGGCTAGTAAAATGATTAATTTAGTTCTTAACCAGCCTCAGTTTCAAACAGTTATTAGCTCTGCAGTCAAATGACATTAACAGAGTGAACATGCAAAGTGGTGATTAAGCATTTCCAAGGAGTAAGAAACCACAATGCAGTCAAAGGGGAAGGCGGACTCAGAAGACCAAACTAGGCTGCTCAACGTTCAACAGGCTGAAAACAAACCAAGCCTTCGTCTGGACATCAGTCCATTTAGTGGATGACATAGTTAGAAGACTTGCGGTTTTATTATTCTTGCAGGAATTAGGGGACATCTGAAATCACTCCAAAAAATAGACGTTCCCTTTTGCCACTCTCTCAGATGCATTCTGAGGCATGATCAAAGCTCAAGGGAGTGCAAATACCCTACCAACTATCCACCCTCGTAAACAAAGAAGGCAGAAGGTCAGTACACTTCCTGGAACCCCATGTTTACTTGCTACTTATTTTGCAGAAGGGCTGGGGATTCTTTTAAATAGACAATAGACCTACTCATGTTTTTGTCCCAAACATTGGGGTTTCTTGTCAAACAACCGTGGGCAATGTGTGGCTGTTGGCAGGAGACTTGAGGGGTAAAAGCATAACCCTGCTCCACATAAGCACCATTATGCCCTATGTGCAGGTAATGTGCAAAAATGGTTAATGAAGTGGTCAACTGTGCAGCTAGACTGACACCTTTACTCCTTTTCCCTGGTAGACCCTGTTAATCCAGACTGCCATTAGGCGGCCACTGCACATTTGCATGTTCCCCAGTTTAAAAACCACCCCTGAATTTAGAAAGACAGCATGTTTGGAAGAAAGCTGTGCCAAACCATTCTCCCCAACACCATGACAGAAAAAGAGGCAGGATATAAATGGGAGAAAATTACTACAAGCACTAATTGCCACAAGCCATTTCAATGGAATTGGCCAGAGATGCTGCGTATGTTTTTTTTTTTAAAAAAAGGTACAAGTACGACAATATTTGGGCCCTTCAAGTTTGTGGGCACACAAGATATGGATTTCAGCAAGTCTGGATTAATAGGAAACTTAAGAGTAAATGATCAATGTTGGTGCTTCCACAAATAAACCGAGATAGCAAAAACAGGAAGGACACTGCACATCTCTTACAGAAGCAAAAGAAAAACCTGCATTCCTGCATTTGGAAACAGGAATTATTGCTTTACTGCAAAGGGAAGCCAATGGGATGCCTTGCAGGTGTGTCATTGGCCCCCAACTCCCATCAGCCTCAGCCAATGGTCCGAGAGGAGGGAGGGTCACAGGGTTCACCATCCCATCTGTTACCCAAAAGAGAAAGAATCTCCACTTCTATTTGGGTGAGTGGGAGAACATGTGACTTTCTAGTTTACTAAATAGAGAAACCAGCATGAACCTTACAGCAATCTTTAGAATTGAAGTGAAAATGTCCCAAAAAGTTTTAAGCAGAGTTTCTGAGTTGAAAAAATGCACATAAAAAAAAAACCACACCAAAAACAGCCCAGGAGAAGCCAAAGTCTTTAAAAATGGAAAAGGAAAAGTGCAGATTTGTCAATGTCTGTATGTGGGACATTGTGAGAAGTCATAGTTAGCAATGCAGAGACTGCACAAAGTCAAGTGTGAAAACTGAAGGCACAGATGTCCAAATGGGAGATTTAGCTACTTCTTGGGGGTACTGCAGCACGCAAGCTGGGAATGGGGTTGAGTATATTCCCCCACAGAACATCAGCGGCCAGGTGAAGCCTGCATAGACCCCTGTGGTCCTATTCTGATCCAGTTCATCATAGCCACTGGCAGCCAAACAGCACTTGAGAACTTAAGCACTGTACATGTTGGCACTGGAAAGGTGCCACCAATTACAGAGGTTTGAGCCATCTGGATATGCCCCAAGGTACATATTGACCCTCCAAATAGATTATCAAAGACTGAGGACTTAACACAGCTGCCAGGAAAAGATGAGAGCAGGTTCTCGTTTCGTCCACATGCAAACTTTGGCCATAACCCTCACAAAATATCAGCCCTCCACAACCTCGTGCCTTTCAGGTGGTTGTTGGGACTACAACTCCCACCTGCCCCAGCTGGAATGGTTGTCCAGCCACCACCTGGAGGGCACCAACTTGGAGAAGGCCAGTCAAAGCCATTTAATCTTAAGTAGCTTAGTAGGGGATTTTCACTTTTGACTTCTTGGTGAGCGGACAAGGTAGGCTGGAGAAAATGCAGGCCTACCATTTTCCAGGGGGCAGCTTATCAAAGTGACTTTATTCATTCATACATAAGTTTTAGGCTCTACCCTTCAACCCCCGGTTATCATAAATTAAAAGGCAGAAAAAGTAAAGATAGTTCTATGGATATTTAAAACTGAAATCAAATTAGAGCCAGGTGAAAGAATGAGGGAGGCAAGCAAAGAGGGAATTAGGACCTCCCTTCACCCCTCAGAACAATATACCAGCTGCCCTGGAAATTCATTCCTAATGAATTCTTTGAAGTATTTTATTTCAAATTTACTTCCAAGTAAACAATTCAGGAAAGGGGTAGAGCAACTGCTTTGAGTGCAGAAGGGCCAAAGTTTCAGGCCCTGGTGTTTTCCGGCAGGGCTGGGAAGGACCTCTTGTCTGAAACCCTAGAGAGCAACTGCAGGTCCGTGTAGACAAAGCCAAACTAGGTCTGATTCTGACTCTGCAAAAGGCAGCTTCCTACGCTACTTTTAAGCTGCCCTGAGAGTATTTGTGTCTTTAAAAGCGGACTATACAGAAATAAAATGCAAGGACAAAAACGTGCCTGTTTAAAAACAGAATTTAGAAGTGCCTGGGCAAAGAAAAAGTTTTATGACTAGTGCCAAAAAGGCCCGGGTTGGTGCCAGGTGAGCCTCCCTGGACAGGGCATTCCTAAGATTTCTGTTAGCAACTGTTAGCCTACATGTCCACTGTGGCAATCTCTACTCCGAGTGCTGCTAGTTCAAATGTAATGGTAACTCCAAAGCCCCAGGACAACAGGTGCTTCATCCGACAGCTACTTCCTGTTTTGCTTTTGGGTTTGCAGCTGTCATTCCAGGGAATGATGACATCTGCAATTGCCCTGTGCAATGTAAATATTTGTTTCTTGGTTGTAACCTTTTTTTGCTTTTTCTTTTTACAATCAGTGGGACAATGCTCCCCTCTCCCACAAAAAAAACCAGCATCATGTTGGGAGGATTATAATTCAAGCACTCAAAGCCTGTCTAGTTTCTTCATTAGAATCCCAACATATGAAATAATAGCAACAAACCTACAGGAGACTGAAATGCTGCAAAGTAAGTGGGGAACCTTTGGCCCTCCAGCTGTTGCTGAACGCCCATCATCACTGATCACTGGCCATGCTTGCTGGGGCTGATGGGAGTTGTAGTTTGTCCACATCTGGAGAGCCAAGATTCTCAATGCCTGCTGCGATGCTGCCGCTTGGCTCCTCTTACAATGAAGAAAAATTGCCCTTGACCTAAGGAGGATGCTGAGTCATCATTCCTAGCAAGCATCACATGACAACCCATATCCAGTGCCACTTTTAAGCTCATCTGTATCATCAGTGAATTCACATCTGGCTTCTCCTTCATGTCCAGCTGACGGGTGAGCTTGGAAAGAATCCAAGTTTGCCCTTATGCAAAACCAAATGGATGCTAAAATAAGTAAATGCAAGCAATGTTCCAATGTGGCTTTTCTTACACTCACTACTGCCAGCAGCCCATGTTTCTGTTTGTTTGTTTGTTTGCAAAGCTGTAGGCAGTTAAGTAGGATAAGCACAGACAGTGGTTTAGGCACCCTGAAAGAATCCAAAGGGTCTAGCCATAGCATGTGTGTAACCAAAGCAAGCATTTGTAACATCTGTTGTGACTTCCAATTATCATTTTATTTGGTGGGTTTTGCAAACACACCATAAATGAGATCTCTGTGATATTGTGTGACTCATCACCATTGCTCCTCAGCCTCATTGTGAACAGTTTGCCTTCTGGCACTGGCAAGTTTAAAATCTACCTTGATGCATCAAAAACAAAGCAAGTAGAGTGTCTGTACTGTGACAAGACCTTCCCAGATTTCTCTTACAAAATTAAGGTAAACCTTGCTGTGTTTCATGTCGTGGCCTTGCAAGACATACGTGTTAACATCAGATGCTGCCTAAGTAGTGTGTTCAAATGTGAGCTGCCAGAAGAGTGGATCATTTAGATCAGGCACCCCCAAACTCGGCCCTCCAGATGTTTTGGGAATACAACTCCCATCATCCCTAGCTAACAGGACCAGTGGTCAGGGATGATGGGAATTGTAGTCCCAAAACAGCTGGAAGGACAAGTTTGCCTATGCCTGGACTAGGTCTTCCCACTTAGGAGCAGGTGGCGCTGTGGTCTAAACCACTGAGCCTCTTGGGCTTGCTAATCAGAAGGTTGGTTGGTTCGAATCCACACTACGGGGTGAACTCCTATCGCTCTGTCTCAGTTCCTGCCAACCTAGCAGTTTGAAAGCACACCAGTGCAAGTAGATAAATAGGTACCGCTGCGGCAGGATGGTAAACAGCATTTCTGTGTGCTCTGGCTCCCACCATGGTGTTCCATTGTGCCAGAAGCGGCTTGGGGATGCCTGATTTAGATGAAAACTTGAGACAACTAACTTAACATAGATAATAGGACATGAATTGTGTGAAAAGGTGCCACAGTGCAGTGGAGAGCTGAGCACTGTGCTTAAACTCCATTCATTTCAATGCAATCTAAGCATTCTGTAACCTGTGCTGGATTAAGATCTTAGGTGTAGTGACTTTATTCCAGGCTGCCCAAAGTGTTACTTGAGCCTCAAACGTTTTACTTCCACCCCAGCCAAGTGTTCCACATCCCTAGCTTGAAAATAAGTCAATGAGGTTTTACTCCTAAGTAAGCATGCAGAGAATCAGGCTGGTAGGTCAGCCTGTTGAAAAGGCATCACCATCTACTCCCAACAGATTCTGCTGGTTAACAGTGTTCTATGAAGCAGAGGAAACATACCTGGTATGACAGGCCATCCTTGCGGGGACTTAAGCCAATCTCGTCCATAGATGGAGCGCTCATCACCTCAGTCATGTCAGCTGATCTCAGATAATCAGAGCTGGAAACAGAGGCAGAGAGAGAGAGAAAGAGCTTCAGCTGTTGAGAGTTCCATGAAATGAACACAATCACTGGACCAAGTGGAATTATTACTAAGGTTTCATGTTGTTGAAGAAACATTCAGATGTTGATCAACATGGTAAAGCCTTTCAACCTTTCCAGTTTAGGAAAGGGCCTTGTTTATTTATTTATTTATTTATTTAAACAGAATGGAACACTCCTAGTCACTTTGGGCCTCTCGACTCCTTTGATTTCAAAGTTTAACCCCTCACTCAAAGGAAAATCTTGTACAAGTTTTAGCCAAGTTTAGAACAACAGCTGGAATCAGCAGTCAAGTCTTTACAGACCTGGGGTCTTTTATCCAGACAACACTGAACAAGTCCTGTTCTTTCCCACTCTGTTATTCTCCTTACATAGACCTTTAAAAAATTAATGTTACTGTTAGGGAAGCAACCAGCCATAAGGATGGAGCACACGATTCAGTTGTGGGTCCTAACCCACCTGGCTTAAGGCCAAACCCCTCCTAGAAACAAGTCAATCTGAGACTTTCTAATGCCTACCCCAACCCTGTGTTGAAAGCCTATCAATTCCATAACCTCCTCAAAACAATGGTAAAAAACCTTGTCAAATGGAGCACTTATGCAGCTCCAAAGGCTTTAATTCTGATTAATTCTGTAACTTTGGTTTCAGGAACTGCCACGCCGGGGGTTAAAGATGCACTCATATTTTCCTGTATAATGAATTCTGAAAGCAAAAGTAGATTTGCATACACATCCAGTAACTTCTGCATTTTGGTGTGTGCTTAACCATTTTCAATTTCCAGGCACAGCAATTTATAAAGCTTGCTTGCATCCATTCATGTTGCCACTGAAATGAAAATATGTTCAGCGGTGCTGCCATAAAAAACAACTGTGTTGCAGTTTGGAAGCTGCTCTGAATCAGCTTCAGACGTACCCCAGATAATAAAATGCAAAGGCACTATAAAATAGCAACAGAAATGCTTGCCCACAAGTCACCAGTGCTCAATCTTTGGTGGACACAGAAGGGAGTGCTCTTCACTGTGCATAATTTATACCCTTGCCAAGCGGCAACAGCTCTTCTTATAGATTCATACAGAATACCAAGTTTAAGCTTTGACACATATGCATAATACAAAATGCAAACAGCTCATGCTAGGATATCAGTTGTGCAGATAACAGATATGTGTACTTATTAGTGACATCAATGCATACAGCACTCAAATATATTACAATAATAATAAAGACAGGTCTCTGCTCCAAGGAGCATGCAGTCTTACAAGGCCACAGAGAGAAGTCATTGCAAGAGCCTCCCTGACGCGAATCAACTTATTTGCTGCTGCTGCATCTTACCTCTATGAGTAAGTGAGAGCTACATCAAGATCAGCTCAACTCTATCTCCAGGACTAGACAAACAGGGAGGAAACTAATCTGTTCATTTACCCACCTTGCTGTGGCCCTCCTGCCCTCTATATTGGGGTCTATGGACTATCTCTTTACAGTGCTTCTAGAAAAAGGAAGTGAAACTGGACTTTGCTCTGTAAAATGCTTTAAGTAAGAGACAACCAGCTGCTTAGGAATTCCCTGCTAGAGTTATTCGAAGGTTACTAAAGCCAAGGAGTGGGTTGTAGCCTGCCGAACTCTATAGAAAACTTGAATATAAAAGTAACAGCAACCAGCTGAGGTCAAGTAAACAGCTACCTCCTTTTTTCAATTTCAAGCTGGGGAGAAGAGAAAAGCTGAGGCTTAGCAGGAAATTAGCTTGCTGGGTAGCTGCATGCTGGTCAGCAGTTTGCTTGCCCCACCGGCTAACAGCTGGATGGTGTACAACCCAAACTGTGCTATCTGGCAAGTATAACTGACTATTAAGCATCAGAAGCACCCCACCAAGCAAGAGCATGGTTTCCAGACAAATATACACTAGGAAGGAAAGCACACTACTTGCCAAACATCTCCACACAACTTGCAGGTCTAGAGAGAAGTTTGCTTTAGTGCCATTCTCCCCTCATTTGCTCTTCAGAAAGCTGTGCAACCTTTGCAAAAAAACCAACAACTCACTTGCTTCATCCCTGCCAGTTCTATTAAAACCACTCAGGAATTTACCACAGGTAGAGCATCCCTTGTGCCAAGGGATATTCATACTGCTTTTGGTATTCATCATGAGAGGCATCCAGTGTTTTCATATTTGTGTGTGGTGTATGTGTTTGCGAGGCCACAGAATCCAATTCTGAATTGCCATCTAGTTTTCAAGCCCATCTCTGTGCCAGAAAAGCACAATTCCCTGAAGGCTGCCTCACAGATGCCTGACCAGCCTTTCTCTGAAAGCAGCCCAAGGAAGATGGTTACACAACTTCTCTGGGCAGCTCACGCCTTTCCTAGCAGTTACAAGGCTGTAGAGAATACAGCGGAAAGACACAAATACGTAAGGGTAGATTCAGGCAGGCTAAAATGCACCACCTCAAGGCATCATTTGAATGCAACCCCATCATCACAGCCTCAAGCAAAAATTCCAGGAGTTCTTCAGAGCCACAGTTCTGCCCGGGAACCATTTTCCAAGCTCAGGTCCCTAAGACAATGAATAACAATTGACAGAGAGCTTCTGGACATATGTAGAGTGACCTTCCAGCACTACTAAACACAGCCAGCTCAACACATCTGGGATTAAGGGTCAAGGCTTCCGATTTGACTACCGTCCTTACACCACCTTTAGATATTAGCCCCTGGCAAAATCTGTTTCCCCGTAATCCTGCACCCATTCGGAGGGGTGTGTGGGTTACTTGCCAAGCCAAGAGCGGCTGCTGCGGCGACTACCCCCCGCCCCTGGTCAGCAGCCGGCTGCTCGGATCACTACTGCCTTTGTTGCAGGCTTGCAGAGAGGCAGCTGCCCAGCAGCAAACTTCCTCACGCGATTAAGTTTCCCCTCCGGGTTGCAGGACTGCGCCCCTCCACTCTCTCGGGTGATATTTTGTTTGGGGCCGGGGGGGGGGTGTTGTCTTTGCAGATCGAACATCAAAGCTGACAAGCGACTTTTCAAACACAGACAGTCGCTATTTAGCCGTCATTACTGAGCCCCCGCCCCCCAAATGCCCCTCTAAAATCCGTTGCTCGGGGTGCAGCGTCTGCAAAGCCCTGGCTGCAGAACAAGCGCTCTAAGCGAGCGAGCAGCGCCCATTCAAGATGCTCAAGCGAAGAGCAGCGGCGGCGGCTGCCGCCTCGCCGTGCAAACTACCGCCGCCGCCTCCTGTTGCAGCAACCCCAGCTCCGCCGAGCCGCTTCGCCCGGCGGGGTGAAATGGAGGACAAACGCCGAATGAATAACCGCTTAACCGGCGCCCTCTCTCTCCCCCCCGCCCTCAGCAGCAGAGCGTGCACCGACTGCTAAAGAGGCTTCGCATTCAAAACGGCGTAGCTGCACCGCCGAGCAACAGCAGGCTGCAATCCCCCGCGCGTTTACTCGGGCGAAAGCTCCGTGCAACTTGGCGGGACTTGCTTCCGTGTAAAGCGTGCACATAGTCGGGCTGCAGGGGGCTTTGCTTTTTTGAATGCGGGGCGGGCGGGTGGGTAGCAGAATTAAGACCCAGGCTGCCTTTTTCCAAGTCTCCACGTTTCTGGCCAGGATCTTGATCTAAGCTTCCCCGAAGCCTCTTCCACCGAGCGTCTCCTTTTGTTCCTCGCCGATCCCCTGCGCAACCTTGAACTTGCTTCTCTCCTCAAGTTCCCAAGTCTGACTAGTTGAGTTTCTCGACCCTTCCTGGAAAAAGTTTATCCCCCCCTCTCCAGCCTGCAACCCGGATCTCGTAATCTACATTTGCGACCCACGAGTACAGTAGCAAAGACAAGCAACCGAGGTACTCACCAGTGAATGGGGAAAAATACAGACATGAAGTCTTAACAAAGAGGCTGACCCAACGTCCTTTGTATCTGAGCACAGGGGGGCAGAGCCGGAAAGGAGGAACGGGCTGGCCTCGCTAAGGAAGAGCGGCCACCACCAGACGATTTGCACCGAGGGGAAAGCGCCCGCTTGGACAAGGAAGGGGGTAGGAAAATGAGCGGCGCTGGTAACCCGCGCGCACAAGAGGAAACTACGCTCGACTTTCTCTGCAAGGCTGACTCGCGCAAAGAAAGTGGGCAGCTCCTTTTATAGACGAGGGAGGCGTGCCTCGGCCCGCAAGGCCCGCCCACCCGCTCCGATGATGTCACCAAAATCATGAATGGTTTCTTGCGCTCAGCCTGTAGCAAAGCCGCGTCTGGGAAGAAAGGAGCGGGATGCCGAGCTCTCCTATTGGCTGGCTCCTATGGCATCATCTTCGGCACGAGCGCGCCTTGCTGCTGATGTCTGTTGTTACCTAACCCACATCGCAGTCAATCAAGCCAAGTTTGGGTATATGTAAAACCACTCATTTAGCTTTTCTTCCTGGGTTGCATGGCTGTGGGCACGCGCTTGCCACCCCCCCCACCGCCTCCCTTAAAAAATAAAATAATAGCTCCGCTGAGAAATGAAGCGTTTCCGAAGAGGTCAGAGAATCTGCCAACGCAAGAGTTTTTAAGTAGGATGCAGTTGCTAAGAAAATAACCGAGAGGTTCATTTAAGGTAGCTTTTCATTCATAACAATGGGGGCGACAAACGCGGTGTGTCTGTCTTCACTGCGCTTGGAAGGGCAGTCGCTTCGCCAGCACAGAAGTGAAATCTAGCTATGCGTTCTAGCTACACCTACTGTCCGGTTATAATTATTTTCAACAATGACAATAGGCGAAGGATTTGAACAGCAACCAGCTGGAAATACGCAAGTGATATTACCCTTTCGCCTCGAACTGTGTAGTAAGGAGTGGGAGTGAAAAGATGGCTGCTATTTTTGGTTTTCCTACTCTGCCTAAGATTGATTTTTAAAATAATCCATGGGAACGTGAAAGGAGGCAGTGGCTTTGCAGGATCATAAATTTACTGGGCTGAACTGCTTTCTCCTCTGCCTTGCCCCCCCCCCAAGAATGGGATTTATTTTTAATATGCTTACAATATGTGGGAGTAAGGAATAGTTTTTGACGTTCCTCAGTTTTCCCACGAGACTGAATCTCTGAGGAACCCACAAAGCTATCAGTTTGATCATTAGTCTGTCTAGCTCAGCTGTGGCTGATGGGAGCTGGGCTCCATCAACCCCATAGAGGGCAGCAGGTTCCTTATACCTACACGGACTGGCAGTGACTCTCCAAGGTTTAAGAGAAGAATTCTTCCCAGCTCCAGCAAGAGACGCTGGGGATTGAATCCGGAAACATGCACCCTAAATCTACCTCTGAGCTACTGCCTTTCTCCCCCAGCTCACAGATACGAAAGTTTGAGGTCAAATCCTTTATTTTCCACCAGTAAGTAAACAGCAGCTGCTTCCTGGTACCCAGAACAGCCACACAGCTGTGTTGTTGTGAAGATATCCCAGCTGAATGTAGGAATGAGCTGCCTTAGCACATCATTTCATTGTGGGTCGCCATAGAACAGAAGATCACAGCAAGGCCAAGGTGCCTATGGTTTACATGTGTGCTGTGAGAAGCCCTTGAAGGCTGTGTGCTGTTGTTTGGCTCTGAAGCTTTTCTGCAGTGCCACAGGAAGGAACTGCAGCACAGAAGCCCTTATGTAAGCTTGTGGTTAGCTCTAGAATGTCTGTTTGCAAATGAAGAGGCACCATGAAGCCAAAATAAACCATCAGTCCCAACAGCCCTTGCCTCTGTGTCTTCTTGGCCCCATCAGGAAAAATGCAGCAATTGGCATAAAGGAGAGCTGTGGAAAGGGATGACTCTTGGCATTTGCCTTCAGGCCTGCAACATTCATGTTTACTGTTCTACTTGGTGATGAGTCCTCTGACATGCCTCTGAATTCCTTGCTGCTTGCCCTCCTATCATCACCTGGCTGCAGCTGTGCCAGTTTGATTTTTTTTCTACTCACCCACCTACCTCTGGGACTGTGGCCACAGCTTCTGCAATTTCTACTGCATATAGCGACACTGCAATGGATTCCCTTTGCTGCCTGCTATGTATGCTCCAGCAGTTAACATGGGGCAGGTAGATCATTCAGCAGCATGTTAGTGCTCCCTGGGCAGTTACAGGAATTGTAGAAATGGCTAGCAGCACACCTGGAAAAAAAGCAATGAGGTCTCCAGGTGCACAGAAATGTGTGTTTTGAGCCCCATGCACTCCTTTATTTCTTGCATCCAATGGATTTCTCCCTCCCCCCTCCTTCCCTCTTTCTAGATTTAGTTAGCAGTAGTCTACAGGTGATCAAAGAAGAATAAGCCTTTTAAAAATCTGCATTTGGAAGCCCCTGTTTGTCTAGCTTGCAGCTGATCAAAGCTGTAGGCCATGCTGGTGAAAAGATATGTTTATTTAAGTAAAATAGATGTCCAGCTCTATAATCCCAAGAAGCTCTCAAAGCAATTTATGGACAAGATCCTCCAGAAAAAAATTCTTCTAACTTCCTTTGCATGATAGAAATTCAGTTGTGGAAGTTTTTTCCTGCCATGAAGACACAGCGATAGAGAGCTCCGCCTGTTGAATTGCATGTGCATCATGGAGCTGTTTAAGGTGTGGGATTCCTGGAGTTTCTTTGAATGTTCAAATCAATTGTTTGAAAAGCCATTCAAAGCTTTTTTGGGGGAAATGTTTCAAAAAACCCTGAGCAATTTTGGAGCAAGCAGGAGGGCACCTATTCGTACCTCAGTCCCTTCTTGTTGGCATGAACCCAATCACCAGGGAAGGAAGCAGGACCTTGTGAAAAACTGATAACAGCATGTAAAATATGATTGATGTCATATACCCTGAGTGGCAGATTAATATTTAAATGGCAGAAAACACTGAGACAGGTGGACAGACAATGCACAACCATATATCAGAAAGACCGTTTAAAAAACAGAAGTAAAAGGTAAAGGGACCCCTGACCATTAGGTCCAGTCGTGACCGACTCTGGGGTTGCAGCGCTCATCTTGCTTTATTGGCCAAGGGAGCCGGTGTACAGCTTCCAGGTCATGTGGCCAGCATGACTAAGCCGCTTCTGGCGAACCAGAGCAGCGCACGGAAACGCCGTTTACCTTCCCACCGGAGCGGTACCTATTGATCTACTTGCACTTTGACGTGCTTTCGAACTGCTAGGTGGCAGGAGCAGGGACCGAACAACGGGAGCTCACCCCGTCGCGGGGATTTGAACCGCCGACCTTCTCATCGGCAAGTCCTAGGCTCTGTGGTTTAACCCACAGCGCCACCTGCATCCCAAAAACAGAAGCTGGCCAATAAAGGTGTCCCCCCCTTTTTTTTGCATCAAAAAGTGGCTTCTATGCAACATTATCTATGTAGAAAGGCTCCCTGGAGCACATTCAAAACAGTGCAAGCATGTAGAAAGCAGCACAGATGTGGTCTAAGAAATTCCTTAATGCTGGAGTCTATGGCCTTTCTCAGGATCTCTACACTGATGTTTGCAGTGGAAGTTACAGTACTTCTATCCAGTGTAGTTTTGGTTCTTTTGTGTGTAATGCATCTGTTTGCCTGCTCACCTGCTCCTTCCAGTGTTCCCATGTTAGAAGTACAGCCATGAAAATTCAGCCTCTTTCCTTAGGTTATTCTGGGGCAGTTATGCTATCCTTAGGGTTGCACGTGCATGATTTGGTGTCAGCCTTCCACCTAGGCTCTCTCCACATTTGGAAAATGTATTTGGGAGAATTAGACAATTATTCCCATTGCCTTTGCTTGTAAACAAAGCAAGCATGCAAAAGTTCTTTTTAGCAAACTGGGTTCTCCTAGCATTCTGTCCAGCTGCACAGATTATGAACACAAAACACCCACTGAACAAACTACCACACTCACATTTTCAGCCAGTAAGAATGGGCATGGAAGAGCTTTCTTAAGCAATGGCCACAGTTTCAGATTTGCTTTTACTGGAAATACGAGGCACTAGTCAGAATTGAGAGCCCATGTGGAACAGTGGTGGGAGCACCTGATGACACCTGGGGATAGCCAATGTCCAATTATCTCTTGGCCATGTCCCTTTGATTACCAGGAGTTGAAAATGTTGGGGGGTGGGGTGGGGAAGGATACACAAGCATACATATATGTGTGTGAATGTGCATGCAATATGGAATTGAATTCAATGAACAGAGAAAATACAACGGAGGGGATACTGCTTCGAAATCCAGAAATCTAAAGTCCATGACTCTAAATACACCCTATCACCCTTTCATATAAATATTGTTGTGATGTAAATGGGAAATTCTCTTTATTCTGGATGTATGTATGTTGGACAGTCGGAATTTGTGGCATCCAGCAGCTCTCTTTCTGCACACACTAATAAAAATTCTGAGTACACTTAATTTTAATGGTTAACAATGAGACCTTTCAGCACAGGGACATCAGATGTCTTAAAATAATTAAGTAATTAATAAGCCTTATGATACCCTCTTTTTACCACAAAGGATAATTTTGTGTGTGCAGTGGTGCCCTGAAGGGCATCAGTGCAGTTTATAGCAACAGAGGTGTGTTTTTTAAAAAAAAAAATTGTTTCCTTGGCTAAATCAAACAACCACAAGCTTCAGCTTTCCAAGCATGGATGTCCCCTAAGATCAGGCACTTCGATAAATCAAGGTGAGTGAAATATTGAGTGCATAACTAGCAATTAAATTTATATTCCACCTTCCCTAAAAATTCTCAGTGAAAATAGCTGCAAAACAGTTTGGATTTCTCTAAAACATGGAGAAATATGAACATAAAAAAGTGAAGACACCTGCTTTTGTTTTACTATTGGTGCAAGCTTGTATCTCTGCCTCTAGCATATGTAGACTTAGATTTTGGCTAATCTTAAGAGGGAGAGAAAAAGAGCAAATATATTACATTGGGCAAGCAATCCAAACTTTCAACCTGCACTTCTGGAAGTGGCTTGGAATAAGGCAGAGGTTTCCTTATGCACTTCTGGAAGTAGCTTGGAATAAGGCAGAGGTGTCCTTCTGCTCAAGAGGCTCTGCCACTGCCAGAGGTTGCCAGTGTAAACCCCTGAAATGTGGCAAAGCGGAGATCCTAAGCCAATCCAGCTACTGGCAAGTTGGCTGATGTGAAACTGGTGCAGCAAACTTACAGACTTTTCCTCCCCTATACTTCCTCCTTAGGTGGTCTGAGGGGTGAGGCTCTGGA